GTAGATTAACTTTCAAAGTGCGCTGACGAAGGCCAACATTCAGCATCGTCATCACTTGTCTAACGCTGCTGAAACGCCGTGTTTTTGCTTTTTGTGCATATGCGACGTTGCTATAACTCTAATGTTGCTGAAAAGTATTATATTCATCAGATTGGATGCGGTCAACAGATGGTATCTAAAAATCCGTCGGTCTCCGCCAGAGACAGCCTATTCCGTATCTTGACTCTCAAAGATTCATTCCCAAGTCCCCCCCCTCAACACCCACTCGGACACCTGAATCTAATCCACTGGCCTCATGGCAACTCAATGCCACCACCACAACAGTGCTCTTCCAATCGCCTACAGCTATGTGATCCCTAGACAGCCATGAGGGCCCTCGTACTACCCTGCTTGCCCTTCCCCATCTTTTTACGGCCAGCCTCGGCCCCCTTCCGTATCATAATGATCATTGAATTCATATGGTCTATAATGGTCGTCCCTCTACTACTTCCCTGCATTTGGTATTTTCGATTCTTAGTCTTCTAGCGGGGCGTTCACATCCCCTCAGTTTACGAGTCTCGTTGACCTACGTAGTTTCCGTACTGCATAAAGCACTAATTAGCGAGATCGTAATCAGAGTTCTCTGTTCCGATTGAAGAAAGGACCATATCGGGCCGGTGGTCCAGACCGTAGCAAAAAGTGGTCCAGAGGGTAGCACTCGGAAAAATGCTTATATTTTTTAGAGGTCTCGCGGGCCTCCGGCCCGCTTTTACTATAGCGCTATCAGGGCTATGGGTGACATCCTCGGGTACTCTCAAAGTGGGCTTCATGGTGGCTGCCGGGTACCACCGTCCGCACAATCCGGGTCCAACGTCCGCAGTGCAGACCCCGCATACCTCGTTATTGTCTATATATATGAGGACTCGGGCCTGCAGCCAAATATCACTATCACATTTATCAAGAGTCCGAGCCACGTGGCCGCACGAGACAAATATTCATCGGCCTAGGCTACCCTAGGCCTCAAAAGCGCTTGCCCGGCCCCTAATTTTTCTCGCTCGCCACATATATCATTAAGGTGTAGGCCGCGCCTGCGGCGCGGTCACATTACCTCCGTGCACTGCTGCCCACTCCTGGTCGGATCTTTCGCAGCTGAAATCTTTCTCGTTTCGACACTTATACTGTGAACTCCCCATCTCTGCATGCTTGTCTGCTTCACAACCTTCGCTCAGCCCCTGTCGAGGATGAAGACACGCGTTGAATAAACGCCCGGAGATCGATGTTGATTTACGACGCAGCTCGTTAGAGCTCGAGAACACTGCGTCCAGTAATTGCACTGTCTGGGGTAGCGATTGAACTCGGGCTGAAACTTAGTCCATATCACGATGGAATCGAGCACTACTGTTTGTGATGTATGCGAGTCCCTAAAGTCATCGGATGACTGTATCGTCCCACGAGTTTCAGTTTGGGTCAGATGAACGTACAGTGCAATTTGTTCAGCAGATTTTGCTATTGTTGTGATTTACTTGAAATGTTGATGTTGAAATATAAGCACTAGTGTTGATTGTTTTGCGTGTAGTGACTATTGAGAAAGCGGGAGAAACCCAGAGCCCCAGAAGGCTCGAGTAATGCC